ACACAGAGATGACAATCAAGGCTGAAAATAAGCCGCCTTAATTCGTGGCCTGATAACGCGTACTTTTGTATCACTTTGGAGGAATTATCGAACGATCACAGCTAAAGAGAGAAAAGAAAAAAGGCACACGTTACTTCCCAATTTTTCTCGGCGAAAATCCGAGCGAGAGCTCTTTCCCACGACGTTATTAACCCGTTATTAACTCGTACGACACTTCAATATTAATCTCCCAACCAATCGAACCAACGTACAAGACCACAATCTCCTCGCGTGTCATTCTCAGCAACAGGTGTCAAGGCCGCTCACGAGGTGGATACGCCGCGGTACAGCCGGAAGCTGCACCTGCAGCCATTGCTGCCGTGCGTGTTGAATGATAATAATTCGCCGTCGTTACGTAGTTAGGATTCTTTCGTGACGCGTAATACGTCGTCGGGCTCTCCGCGTCGTGGATGTTCGCAGATTGAAAACGTAATGCTGAATCCTCTTATCTCGTCTATTCGCGCGGATCTATTCGCTGCTGCCCGGCGAGGCGAAATTGCCGCGCGGAAACTGTCGCCGTGTGTCTCACCGGAGCGTTCCATCATCAGGCCGATCCCTGGCGAATGATAACTCGCCAGCCGGCGTGATTGCGCGATCGTGATGAAAATTGGCATCGATTTGTACGACTCCGAAGCTCGTAATTGTAATTTCGCTCGAGCGGATCGTTATAGCGCGAAAGTGCCGGGACGAAGCTCCTCTGTTCGGAAAATCGGGTTCTTTTAAGATACTCGATCGTTTCCACGCACTGCTGCGCTGTCGTCGGCATAATCGATGGTCCTTCGCGCGTGCATCGCGTTGAAGTTCGCAATCATCGTCACGGCGGGACGCGCGGCCGGTATCTCGTCGGGCGTTAAGCGTGTATGTACCTGCTAAACTAATTCGCTGATTAGCGCGGGATTATCTCCGCGTATCACCTAAGAGCGATGGGATCTGCTCTCGGGGTAGATAACACAGCCGACACAACCCGCCGTACATTACGCTCCCGATGATTTAAGAACTACGGTTACGGTAGACATGAAACAATTCGCGTGACTTATACGATCCTCGTTCGCTGGAAGTCGAAATGGTGATTCTGAAATGTGAGTGCGTGAGACATCTGAATATTAATAGCGCGAAGCCACAAATAGCCAGCGTTAATAGAACTGCGCGCGACTCTGATGGTGTATTCGAGCCGTTTTGGATTTCATTTCATATCAACGAGACGCGAAATGCTTCACTCCTGGAATGAATTCTGAATCCATATGAGTGAATGTTTCAATGGATTACTCTTCAATTTCAATTGAAAATGTTCACTCGACGATTCAGAGTGGAGATTCATTCTGTATGAGTGAAAAATTATTCGAACTCGGTCGCTCTGTCTTGCAAGTGAAATTTTGCTCCAATAAATTTAGAAAATGCAAACTAGGTAAGTAATTGGAATTCATCTAATCGAGAAAAGATCATGCGATAAATTTTCTATATTTCTCTATATTTGAATACAGAATATTTTATTCCAATTCTTTTACTTTTTTTCACACCTGTACAGATCCAACAAGATTTAGAGTCGACACCTTTCCTCACGTGAATTTCAACTGGAAACTGAAATTCAAGTTAATTTGCGAAAAGAAATTTCGCCATTAATGTTACCGGAAAATGTAAATTCGCAAATTTCGCGTAGATCTTCGCAGCCTGTAATTTGAATAATGTATCGATCGCCTCTCGATATTCTCGTCTGTAATCAATTCCAAATTAATGAAAGGAAATATATAAAACATAACGTCAACGAGCTTCATTCATGTATATTCATAATTTTGCGAGATATCTCTTTTTCTTTTCCATGAATCAATATTATTCGCGATCAATTCTACATCAACGAGAAGAGAGAGAAAAGAGAATTCCGCACATACGAGGAAGTACGTGTGGACATCTGCGGCAATCAATAAATACCCATTAATATTCGAAGCGTCATCTCTTCGGCGACCTTTGCGGCTTTTTCCCAACATCTCCTCGAAGAACGCGAATTTGTCGACAAACGCGAGTCCAGTCGCGTTCGCTATATTCCTGAACTCGTTTCGCAAGAACTAACGAAGTCTGGATCGATATTTACGTTTATCGCCGCTAATTCCAATTAAGACTGTCGCAAGCTAGATTCGCAATTTATGCACGAGCACCGGCTACTTACTCCCGTTGGAGTCGCCGTATTCCAGCCGCGGGATCTAGGATGCACGATCCGGCGTCGGATAACGACCGGCTGATTAACGATCGTCGAGCCGCTCACGAGTCGCGGCTTAAGAGTCAGTCGCAGCGACAGTCCCGCGCGACTTGAACTCTGACCCCGCGCTTAAGACGACGGATCCACGAAACTGGAAGCGGCGTCCGGTTCTCTATGGCCGGGTGATAGATAGTGTCATCTCGCGCGAGGCATCGCTGAGTTATGGCCGGGGGACTCGATAAGGCTGATCGCTTGCAGTTAGGTATGCACTCCTGCGCACGTTTTTATCACTTGTTCACGTCTCTCTGGCGGCATTCAAGTCACTGATCACGCGCCCCGCAAATTAATTCACAACGATTACATAAAGCTGTTCCCGCGTAGATCCTAACATCTAATTGGGAGATCCGATTCCTCAAAATAACTATGTCCGTGTGAAAATTTCTCAAATATTAACAAATATCGCTTAAGTTCTGATCAAATTATTCAACTCTTGTGATTTCAGGTAACAGTATTTTCACTATCAGTTCGAGTGAAAACATCGCTACCTTTCACTCGTTTTGGCATTCCATTCCGAGAAATTTAGAGAGTATAAGGTGATACTATAAAGTCCTGATTATTATTGTACGGATATATATAAAAAGATGTGATACACACACGGAAATAAAAGTTTGATTGGATTAATCAATTTCTGATGAAATATGAACGAAATTAAAATCCTGTTTGAAGTTACTAGAAATTTGTTTAATCCAACCAACCAAACTTTTTTTCGTGCACATAATCAGAAATATTCAGTTGTGAGTAGTATAATTATCTTTGTGTGATAGCAATGTGTGTAGTGGATACGACAATTATTTTGATATATTAACTACATCAATATAGTGATCTACAAGTGATCTGGTTGTAGCAAACAGAAATTTCTTAAAACGATATTTAGCATGGATACACTCTGATTAGAGTAACCGGATATACTGTAACTCAGCAATTATTCTGTAGTTTTGCAGCAACCATATAATTAGTTGTCCCGTATTATACTATTGAATCTGGTTAGCACAACTAGATACGTGTGTGTGTGGCCCAATCATACTGGTTTTTCCGTGCAATTATTAATAATTCTTATTATTAATAAAGTTCTGATTACCACGTCGCATTACATCACTTATTAAGGCCTGATAATATCGCCTTGTGCAAATCAGTTGATGCAAATCTATAAATTAACTGATTAAGATCAAACTGTGCGTGTGATCAGGAATATGAAATACATTTCTAGTTAGATATTGCATAAGTTTAATGGTCATGAGTTTCGGAAACGACTATCTCCGATGGCGCATATCTCACAGAATTAAGTTATCTTCGGGCGAGAGGAGAGTCTTGAAACTTAGACGCGTGGCGTATCTGAAATAAGCACGTGTTATCACGAGAGAGAGAGAGAAAGAGCGCCAGGTGAAACGATATCGTTTGATATCGAATTTCGAGCCGCCACCTGCTGGACTTTACGATATACTAGAGTGTCCTGATACATAATTTATAAACCACGGTGCCCAGTTACAGGCTTTCGCACAGAGAATGTAAATTCGCGATGTCCAAACGGACTCTTGCGGACGAACGAACAGGTTCTGCATACTGCCACGCTGTAATTAAATCCAATAGTCCCTACCGGCCACGCCGATTTATTACGCTCTTTATCCAATAATGTACAGCGCAAATTAGAAATTGCAAACATACACTTCGCCAAAACGTTACGCGCGCCGCGCGAAATTGGAGGGTATTGAATTTTATGCTCTACCTGAGGCATCAATACTGAAGATTGATTCGCAGAATGCGTTTGCATAATCAATTTGGCGGTTCGCCCAATTTAAATTCATACTTCCGCACGAGAGAAAGAGAGGCCAAGTCCAATATTTTAAATATTCATCTTTCTGTATGTGTGTGTGTGTGTGTGTACGTGTGGTCGGAGCTATGTGCGCACTTGCCGAGATTAACAGTAATCAATGCACATCACGATTCCTCGTTGACTTCTGACACTGTCGCAAAAGGACAAGCTGCTTATCGCGACCTGTGTTTGATATTAATTACTAAATATTGCACTAAACGCTCAAACAAATGCATTTGTTAATTATTACAAGACTTTTTTTATGTATAATTGCAGCTTCTAGCAGTAAATTTACGGTGCAATTGTTGCAGAGTCCCGAAACAACATTCGCGAGGCGTTTCCGAAAAACTCAATGACCAATCCGACGTATAAATTACAGCGCGTTCTCTCTGAGATGTCTCATTACGTTGTTTTTCTAGCGAGATCGTGGTTTTTCTCCTCCTCGCAAGAAGAAATGTTTACGTTTTGCGGCTTGAACCTTCGTGCGGACTCGCCACGTTTCCTCATGATTCGCGAGGATTTTCGGGCAAGTCTCGGGAACCTCGCAATTTATTCAAATGAGCAAAACAGCCCGGCAGGCCGCAGGCCGTATTTTGCTCCAAATTATAAGCTGCCCCGCCAAAATTGTTGGGCGAAATGAACATGCGATTGCACGGAAAAAAGTAGCCGCCATCACGAGAAACACCTCGATCTTCTTCCACTTTCGTGGAAAAATGCTCGTTTGGGGAATTGGCGCAGTTTTTGTCTCACTTTGATTCGCGTTAAATATTATATAATATTATGCAATCTCCTCGCATCTCACCGTGCCTGTCGTATCGACGTGTCCAGTCGAAGTCCCATCAATGAGAGATGACTCAATAAAAGAGATACCTCATCTCGAGCTGTCTGTTTGTTTTCCAGAGTGCAATGTCGCGGGTTTCAGTAACAACGGCCACGTGGAGAAGGTGCCGTACGTCTTCCTGCCGCAACGGGGACAGATAATATATCCGCACGCGGAGATTCGCTTCGAAGGTAAATTCCCACGCGTTCTAACATCAAATAGAGATTAGCCCAACGAAGCGTAGCGCAAAATGCGAATGTTACCGACGTCGCATATAATCTCGCCGTTGATTAAAGTAACACGCGTCAAACAGCACGCGCCAAAGTCCATGCTTTTTTTATTAGCATTACTCCATTAGTAATCGAGCATTTACAGGATTCTTTATTGCTTGCACTGTGTATAAATACACAGCGAGAATTTTACAGTGAAAATTACCATGGAACTTTATAATCGAGAAACAGATCGATATTCTAAGGTAATTGATTATCCTTTTATTTCATATACATTTAATTATTATTTGTATGAATTTAATGTATGAATTTTAACTAAAATGTGCTATTAAAATATTTACTACGTTTCTTGCGAAATTTACTGTCTTCCTTAGCGAGGTTGATCTTACTGACAATTCATTCCTATTCCACTAGAAACATAATAAAATTGAAAAAAAATTTATATGTGGAAAGAAAACTATAATATATTCTCTTCGTGTAGTATTTTCTTAGTGTATTATTTGTGTGTAGATAAGATAGTCCGAATGTATTAACCGCGAGTATTCTTCTCGTTTCTTGTACATTATGAAGAAGAAAAGGAATAACACGGAGTGTCAAAATCGAACTCGATCTTTCTATAAATGAGAAATTCGTGCCCACGCGCCTTCCTTGACGAAGACAGACCCCCATCGTTGATGTGCATGCTTCCACTCGTTATCTCGCGCTTCGGTTGTCTCTTTCTATCCTGATGCCATCCGTTAACACGGACATAAATTATCTGCCGTATAACTAGGTGTGACCACTCCTGTGTGCGGGATCGCAGGTGCCCAGCAATTGGGCAGGGCGGGATGGTCCGAGCTGAGGAATCTCTCCGACGCCGAGCCGCCCTTCAGACTGTTCCGAGACGAAGGCAGGACATTCCTCCAGGTCGGTATAATACGCAGGAGAAGGAAAAACGATAACTTATCGCCCGGTTATTATACGGGTGCGAGATCGCAATTAGTCGCGCGAATACGTAGCCGACGTAGTTGTACGGTAGCGATTACCGCGCTCCGAAGAAATATGATATTTACGCGCCGGCGGCTTACGGCGGGAACTCACGAAAATGCACAGGTTCCTCGTGTATCACCCGTGCCCGAGTAGTGCAGAACCGGGGGCCTCGAAGCTAAGGCCTTTAATCACCGTAATTAGCTCGCAAGCGCTCTCGACGGCGCTCGACAGGAACGGAGGAAATTTCCTTGTGCACGTGAAGCAAACCGGCGGATACTAATTCGAGAACGCACGGCGGAACACGCAAAAAGCGAGCCGAACAATCGCGGGAATTTGCGTAATTAATCGGACGCGGCTGCCACTTGTACTATTTGTTTTTGCGACGTCGTCGCGTGAACGTCCTGTAGCGAATCTGTAGGAATGTATAATGAAGTCTTGTTGTACGATTCATCACTCACGATCGATCATTCGCAGTGGATCGGCGAAGCTGGTCTGCGAGACGCGGCGGAGGGACGAGTCGTGACGGCCAAGCTGGTCTGTAGAGACGCCTCACCGAAGTCGATGTATCCCGGAGTTTTTACGCCCTGCGTGGCCTTCAGGGTAGCCGGTTCACCATCGAAAAACAGTACGTATAACGACGGGATTCTCACCATGTTACGTAATAGCACTTTATATATATACGAAGAGAATTTTATAGTAAAAGTTATTATAAAAAATTATCAAGGAATAGATCGACATTCTGCAGTAACTTATTGTCCTTTCATTTCATAATTATATTTCAGGAACTCTGAAATATCCCATGTGCTATATTTCTTAGCAATACAAACTCTACTGACAATCTATTTCTCTGCACTACTAAAATCAATAAGTCACATAAAAAATTTTAATATTTGTAAGAAATCTAATTACAAAAATTAAAAAAAATTATATATATATATATATATATATATATATATGAATATGGAGGGACGAGTCTCAGTCATCATTCACAGTCAATTACTTTGAGTAAAATTGAAGAGAATTTATATGAAAAAGAAAACTACGATATTCTTTCTAAAAATAAAATATATTTTACATATTTTATGTTTCCTCGTAGAAAATATTATATTTTTCTTAAATATTAAAATTTTAATGTAATTTGATTGATTTAACTTTGCATGTATCATGTTTCAGCAAATTACTAAATATACATTTGGTTTTAAGTATTTTAATTAAACATTTATTTCTTCCTTCCATGCCAGACGTACGAGAAGTAATGTTCGCGTCGACGTCACAAGTTTCCCAAGGTTTATCAGCCACGGAGTACACCGCGATCGGGCTCTCTTCCGTGATCTTGGCCCTCATATACGTGGCCAGCGTGTCTTTGTACTTGCATAGCAGAAAAGCGAAGAGAAAATCCATCGAAGAGGCGAATGTCACCCTGGACGGCGGTCGAGACGGCGGCGGATTAGTGAAGAGCAATCCGTTATTGGCCGCTACGAGACACTTCGAGAGCGACACCAACAGCGGACTCACTGAGAGCGACTTGGGGGACGATCTTCCTCCAAGTGACAGCGAACAGGGTTTCGAAAATGTAAATGTAACATCATGTAATATTATACTATTAGGAGTACCCATAAGTAATCATTTTACAATGAAATGTGTTTAGAAGTCCGTAGACAAAACTTTTGCTTTTTAATTAATAATATAATCACTTTAATATCTAATATCAAACAAATAACACACTAAGAAAATATTTATATACCCCACACAGCTCAAACAAAAACTCACAAGAATGAGTCTTGTAAATATTTGGTTGCTTGTGGATACTCTTAATGCATACAACGTCGTTCAAATTAGAAGTATTCATAAGTACTCTCAAGTATTTAAAAATGAAACATGTTTAAATATCTATAGACAAAGTTTTTATTTTCTAATCAATGAATAAGTTTAATATTTTATTCAAACAAATAATACATTCAACAATACTGTTTATATATTCTACACAGTCAAACACATAAGAATGAGTTTTGTAAGTACTTGATTACTCTTATGGGTGCTCTCCTAATGCATATCCAACAAACGTTCGAACCTTTTGCTGGTCGCTGCATCAGTCGAATATCGTTTCAGCAATGAAATTGCTCGCGTATCTCCGTGATCGCAATAGTCGCCCGAGCGAGCGTCCGCATCCCGTATGCAGAACCATTCGTCTGCCATTCTGGGACCACCGCGCGCGTTTAATAATGCATCCAATTAGCGCATTAGTTTTGCGCTCCGTTAGCCCGTACCATTCCAAGTAGGCAGAGGCGCATCCCACTTTTACGCCATACCGCTTGAAACATCACGCACTACAATTTCAGTGCATTCTACAAACCGCCTCCAGTCTTCACGTAGCCGCGCGAATTCTTTCCCCGCTGTAACAGTTGAAATGTAAGTCGCGTCGTGTTCAGAGCAAAATGCAAAATGCAATGCATCGCGTCTCTCAGTGACGCAATTTGCGCGCAAAAAAAAATCGGTGAAGTCAAATCGAGCCATTGATAATAATGCACGAACACATACGTGTATGTGAAGTCCAAACGCCGGTCGGTCGTGCGATTTCGTCGCGAAGACGAGGTAAGTTCATAATTGGCAAGCTCCACACCGAGAGAAATCATTAAAATTGACAAACGAATATTTCTGGTCAAAATTCGATGAAGTACCGGTTAATCTTAATCCGATATCAGGAAACATCTGATGAAAAATGTCGCTTTTCAATTCTTTGATCGGTTTATCTGATGAAATGCCACATTGAGAAAAGTATTTGGTGTTTGCAACTATAATCGCACATAAACAATTATATATAAATTATGGTCAAGAAAACTATTTTTTTTTATTAAATTCTATCATAATATTAGTGATGATAACTTTATGTGTATATTAAGGTAAATATCCTAATGATTAAACTAATAAAAAAACACAATCACAGTTTTATATCTTTATTAATAAGTGATGAATGAAATTACTAACAAAACTAACATTTATATAAAACTTTAATGTCAGCGATCGAAAAATATAACAGGAAATAAAATAATCAATAAATATCAATTATAATTTGCATGTTATAACATTTGAGATGTTAGATATGTCGATTATACCAGTAATTGAATTGAAAAATGTCTCATGTTCTAATTACAAAATAATATACACTCAATAATTGCTCATTAAATAATATTGCAAATAAGTATGAAAAAATATCTTTTGACAAAATTTCGCGAAGGATCTTTTAGAAATATTAAATATAAATATACTATTAATGTTTCAGTTATGGGACATATTTCGTGTTGGAATAACCAAAGAATATGGTTAGGGCCAGAAGTAAATATAATTTTAGTTAGATCAATCATTTGCTTTTCTCAGTGCATTATGATCGGAGATTCGATTGAATTTGATCGAATATCCTGATATCGGATGCAACAATGTATCGGAAATATCCATTTGTTGCTTATCTGTCGGATAATTTCTCTCAGTGCACGCTTGAGACGCGACCTCGCCAATTGCGGACTCGTCTCGGCCTTGCGACGAACTCTCACCGACCTGGCGATGCTGTGCCTCTTCAGCAGATAACATCCGCGATCGTCCATCCGCATTGCGTCTATCTGGAACAATCGGAAGGGCTTTTCTCGGCCGGTTCTATTCTGGGCGAGAGACTGCCGGAAGAGGATGTACGCGTCGTGGAGACGGCTGACAACCCACATCAGCAGGATGTACCGGTTCTTCCAGGTGCTCAACGGAGAAAATTGTACTTCAATCCCGCGTACTTCGATCGACAGTTATTGCTGGTAAGTTTGCTTCGTGCTGAAGGGGCTGCGAACGGGCAGCAGGAGCGTATTTTCGATTTGCGCGAGTCATCCATGCAAGTTTAGCGTTTTCGAGGAGTAGGAATGTTTTAATGACACCCTCGAGAAGCACGTGCAAAGTCTATTGCCTATTCGCGGCGCGTAGCCATTCACTCGGCCGGCGACAAGATAATTTGAAAACAGCCCGGCGTTTTCTTAGGCCCCACCTCCGGCTGCCATCGAGTTCCTGCTCAAAATCCGAGAAGTCATCTCCATCGCCAAGCACAAGATGGCAGCGAAGAGATTCGTTCCTACTCTCACCGGTAAGTGCACGCACGCGTCTCGGAACGGTAAAATCGTGCGAGCGTTTTGATGCGGGACGTGCCGTTCCTATTTTAGAAAACACGCAAAAAGCAATAATATTAATATTTCCTTTCACTCGCGAGATATCAACGTGAAGAATAGAGAAATTGCTGGAAGACACGAAAGCTTGATCTCGCGTCTTGAATTTTTGTATTTTCAAACTCGTATCCGCATCCGATTTTGGATTTTTGACTGTCTCTCTCGCCTGCAGGGTGTCAGGATCGTTTCACTTCGACTTTACAGCTCCCCAGATCCTCGTAGCCGAGAATGTTTTGAAATTAGAATTGCAACGCGACGCGAAAGTAACCCGTCGCGTCGGCCCCTTTCACTCGGCATAATAAGGCATAATTAATCCGTCGCCTTCGTCCTCAGCATCGTGACCTCGTAATCTGACGTAGGTATCCCGGAAGAAGAGAACGGTTCGGATCAATGCGAGTCAGCCAAATCGAGCAAGCATCAGCAGAGGACCACGCCGAGTTCCGTCCAGGGCTCAGCTACGAAATCGCGTCGATCCCAACGGTGCACCGGCTGTCCCGGTTGCAGCGACTCGTCTCGACAGCTTCCTGCGCTGCCTGCGCTCGACCTACCCAGCCACGGTGAGAGCAAGGTGCGCGCTTGGCTGGAGGACGTCCGCCCGCCGCAACGTCGCTGGAGAGACGCTGAAGACACGCGCAGGAATTTCCAGGAGAATGCAAGGACATTCGCCAGGAATCTGGAGTACCTGAAGGAGCTGGCGAGACGCGACTTCGCCGACCCAGACGGCGCAAGTCTAGCTGGCAAAACGGTGTCCTCATGGAAGGAGAACCCGCCGATGCTGAGGACCTTCCAGAACATCGCCAGGAGCGAGATCTTGGCGAACGACGATCGCTGCAGCGTGTCCAGACGATCGACCAAGTCCATGTTCGAGGAGTCCGCGTACGAGCGTTACGCTCGCGGCAAGAGGGACAGGCCGGCGTATCAATTCGCCGGCGACGACGCCATAAACGCGAAGGTGCGCAAGGCCATTGAGAATTCCTTCATCAAGCAGATGGAGGAAAGCGCGGCTATGGAGAAGTGTGACAACGCAAAGGACAGCAACAAGAGCAGCAAGAGCGAAGAAGAGCAAGAAGAACAACGGAGGAAGAAGCTAGAAGCGAATCAAGTGGAGAGCAAAGCGGAGACATCGGCCCAGCCGTCGCAGATTAATTCGGTGCCGAAGAGGTCGAGGAAATCGAAAGCGCCGAGCGTGCCGCCGTTGACGAAGAAGGAGCTGCCGGACATGATCAACGAGCTGCCCGGCGCGAAGAACACGGCAAAGCGCATCATGGACGCGGTAATACGCGAAATGGTGGATGTGAAAGCACTGGATCACCACATCCGATCGCCGGTGATTGCCGACTACGAGGTGGACAGTCTGGAGCGTTCCAAGTGCAGCAGGAAGTCGTCGACGTCGCCGGAATCGACGGATCAGTCCAGCCCGGCGCTGTCCACCGCGTTGCCGATGGACGAGGAGCTGACAATGCAGAACGCCGTCATCAATACGCGTACCGGCGAAATGACCATGTCCAAGCTCAACAATCAGATCCTTCTCGAGAGGAACTACTACAACAGCTTGCCGGAGCTGATCACTCAGCGCTCAGAGATGTATTCGTTGGTGAGCGAAGTCTACGTAAACGACGGCTACACAAGCCCGGCCTGCAGCGACGACTCCGGCCCGGAGATCCAATATGAGCCGGAGAACCCAGGTCACCTGACTATCAAAGTGCAGGACTCGCCGGAGAACTACGTGAAGCTCGACGAGTCTGAATACGAGCCCGACACGTTGGACAGGAAGCCGATGAAGTTACGCATCAATGAGGACGTACAGTACGAACAGGAGATTGCCAACGAGATCTACGTGGACTCGCTGGAGAGACCAGCGCAGATTCTGCTGAGGAGTAAGGGCAGCTTCCGCGACGAGGGCTCGACGCAGGGGAAGTCGCAGCGCGGTCAAGGAGGTAGCCTGCGCGAGATCTACGAAGCGAAGATCAGATCGAGCCACAAGGACTCGCACTCGACGACGACGACACCGACGAGCGGCGAGTGCCGAGAGAATGGTGAATCTGAGGACAACACACTCTCGTGGAAGAAGTCCCGCTACTTGACTCCAGACAGCAGACAAGCGAAAAGACAACGACAGCCGTACAATCGGCCGGACGTGGTGCCGCCACCGCCTACGGAGGAGATCTACCAGCGGCCGAAGCCGCCGCGACGCATCGAGGACGTCGCCGCCAAAGCGGCCACGAAGCGGCCGACGTCGCCGCCAAAAAACGCGTGGGACAGGAGCTCTGTCGAAGCGGGTAACCCTACGGCCAGCAACGGCGCTCCTGTCCCGAACGACGGATACCATCATGTAGGGAACGAGACCTGTTTCTGCGCGTCGCAGACTCACGCGGACTCGTCACGCTCAGGCAAGTATGAGCTCTGCGGCAAGGAGCAGCAGCGGACGGACGTCGCCGTTTCCAAGGACAACGTGACGCTTTCCAACGAGAGGACGACCTCCGACTGCGCCGTGACTAATGGCTGCAGGGACTATCCGTGCGAGACGCGAATCGAGATTGAAGGTTCCGCAAGCAGGTACGGCTCCTACGGGAATGTCGACGCTAAGGAAGCTGACGTGTCGTCGAAGGTGATGAGGGCTGTGCGTGAAAAGCGGTCTGTTGTCGTGAATTCGTCGCACAGGAGCTCCGTCAAGAACTCCAAGATGCGATCGTCGTGGGGCAACGTCGATCATCAGCGAGAAGACGAAGATAGGCTGATTGATGACAGTCGTGATCACGTAGTCGTGCCCGATTCGAGCAGACAAGAGTGCCAGAAGAAGAACGTGAGCTACAGCAGGGTACAGAATTGCTCCAAGACGCGGCAATCGACAAAGGGACTCTCACGAGGCTGCGATCCTGCCAGCAGCGCGATGATACCGCTTATGGTGGCCGCGGACAAACGGCGCGGACGGGGTGGTAAGGTCGAAGACAGCGGCTACCTCAGCAGCACCGACAGCAACGGCTCGCACAAGCGGCTGCTGAGGCACGAGGTGAGCAGCGTGTCCGAGACCGACGAGACCGAGTCGGTGTGTGACGGCGCCAGCGAGAGCGGCGCCGAGAGCGTCGGCACCGACAGCGTGTTCTTCGGCAACTTCCGCAGACTCTCCGAGATCTCCAAGAGCGCCGATTCCGGAGTCGACCTGGAAGCGAGGGGCACGTACTACCAGACGCCGTACAACTCAAAGAGCGAAACGTCGCCCAGCGTCGTTCCCGAGAGGATGAACTTCAGCAACAGTGACAGCGAAACCGAAAGCTTGGTCACAGTATTGCCACCCTGCGGCAATCGGTGCCACAGTTTAGTAGCGTAAATGGTTTACTTAATATTTTATTATTGATATTTATCGTAGATATAGGTTACTCGCGCTGGAAATGGCAAGTCGCAAAGCTTAGAACAGGATTTTTATAGACAAATCCTTCTTTTGAATTTTCTGTCAGGTTTTATCGTGTATCAGGCATCTCATAAGTAATTGCGCATTTGTAACGCCAAACTTAAATTGAAACAAATGTTCCCATTTTATCCGAGATATATTCGCCATCTGAATTGACAAAATTTTCCTATCTACCAACTAATTGTTCAATTTTATTTTTTATAAAACTCTGGAGAGATTTTGAAATTTCATCAATCATATATTCAATTACTTATAGAGATGATAATACATTTATGTCACAACAATAACAAAGAGAATGTAATGCAATACTGCTTTTAGAACATAAGCGGAAATCAAAAACGATTTGCCATCGTACACTAAATAGGATATCCGAGATCGAATCAGATATTGATATAATTTGTGATTAGCATTCGTAGAAAGGACGCATTTGCTCAACGATTCGCGGTGCCGTTACACTTTCGAAGATAAATCTTGAAAAATTGAGATTGAATCAATTTTGTGGGGAATAAAAATGATTCTAACGAATAGGCACTTTGCGTGTAAATCTTATATATTTTTGCAGAGAAATTTCAAGGCCAGTATAAGGAAAACTAACTTACTAATTAATAGACTTTTAATTGTCACGATAGTTTTATTAGTATTACGATTCAATGAAGCGCCATGCGCTTGAAAGTTCATTAAGCGGGTAATTGATAACGATTATATCCTTTTTGCTCAGTTCACAAGAGTGACAAATGAGACTTCTGGATGTATGTATGTATGTTGTGTGCAAGAGATCTTGGGTATTTTTTATATTAATATATCGTGTTAAGCTAAGTGTATTATATACACAGAGGCTCTGCATATCATCTTTAAAAACATTGACATGTATACGCATATATCTGTAACATCTCAGCGACATGTGCATCTCTCTATTGCATATTTATTTATTTATTTATATTTATTATTTCCTATGTTAAGTATCATATCAGGAAGAACGAGATAAAGTCACATTCCTACATTAATGAAAAACATGATTATAATTTATATTTAGATAAAATTAACGTTTGAGTCTTGTTTATGAGTCGTCTTGAAATGGAACATGATCATCGCGATTGGAATTACTATAATTAGAGCAATTGAAACAATATAAGTATAGCTATCGTCGGCCGGTAGTGCAATATTAGCCCGTAACAAAGAGCAATCACGCAAATCCTAAGTTTAAAGTTCTAAGTTAAATCCTAAGTAAGTTTAAGTTATTAAATAAGTAGTATGTTGATATGCATTTAATGTCTGTCTCTTTGCCTTCTTTTTCCTCTCTTTCTCTCTCTTTTTTGTGCATATCTATATCGAATATTTCCTATCATAATGTGTGTACGGTGAATAGTATAATAACAAAATGATGATATAAGAGAACGATAAATATGTAAATAAGTAAGGAGAATAACGATATCTTGCCAAAAAGGTATTAATGTCCTATATACTTTTCTGATGTTATTATTACAGTTGTTATGATGCGCGCGATAATTGTTATTGTTTATCCTTTATATACTATGTTGTTCAAAGCCGTGACTTTATTGCAGTTAGTTAAAGATAGTTCACAGCGCAACTGATGTCTTCTTGTTTTTTATTGTCAATGAACAGCCAATCAATCGTATGCATATGAATGAAAAGATGCGGAAAATGACAAATTGTACTGTCATTTTTAAATAATGCATGAAGTTAACAGAAGAACTGTATGTTTTATATATGACATATGAGAGAACTTATGGACTTGAGATATTATTTTCGCAAATTTATCGTAATTAAATCACCGTAATTAAACAGATATTTATCTCTTGTTAGCATTTTAAATTATTCTCGTACATATAAAGCAAAACGGTTGTTTTTCTTTAAGATGATATATGTTTGTAACTATTATTTTTTTTGCAGAAGTTTTACACATATTTAATATATTTAATATATTTAATGATAATATATATTATTTAAATTAATATATTCCTATCTCCCTATTTTATGAAAATTATTGTAATACCAGAAGCGCACGCTTCCATGTACCTGCCAAATGTAAATATTTAAAATAGATTTTAATTATATGTGTTGTTCTTCATATATATGCACACACACATTTATATACACCGTTACAACATATTATTTAATATTATTTAAGCCTAAGACACATTGTTTTAATATACACATATATTTTATGTAAAATGTTTATATAAAATAATATATACATATAATATATACAAATATATGCCGTTACGATCGTAAATATATTTCAGAGCCTGTGAAACAGTCGCTAAATTCTATAGCACATTCGTATTTATTTATTCACATACTGAATGTTGATACCTAAATCAATGTGTTATATAACAATTATTTAATTGAAATAAGAATATTATGTATAAGTAACTGCGTGTAGACTATATATATTTGTTAAGTTACACGAATTTTAGGAAAAACTTAGCAAAAGACTTTGTCTGCAATGCCGATATCTTCTAAGTTATCAATAGTCTTGTTCCTATATGAAATAATTAATCACTGTTGATGTAACGGTCTCAATTATGAGTCCCAATTCCAGATCAAGCTTGATTTATTAATATATTAAAAAAGTATGGTTAAAGGATAGATAAAATATTTTTATATTCTTTAGTTCTTTTGCCATTGTATTCCAAGATTGTTTTCATAAATATTGTTAATATTTAAGAAGAAAAAATCTAAAATATCATTTGGTTTAGCGACTTTTTCAATATATAAAACTGCTAGCAGATTAAACCACATACGTCATTATTCTATATAGGCTAAAACCATATGAATGCGGATATTATTAATATAAAATTGGATATTGTATAATCTGTCATAGAGATGCGAAATATTTGCTGACCCATAATTGAGATTTATTTATAAAAGTTTCTACTTATCTCTCTTCACATTTAGAATGGATTAATTTAAAGTCTAGTTATTTTTTTTGCTTTAAAATTACAAGGTTTCGCTTATTAACAGTACCTCTTAATGTTTGGTCGACAAATCTATGTAAATTAATGAAAGTTACTCTAATCTTAAATGACCTATAATTAGGACCGTTATCTTATATTTCACTATTACTTTATCAACATTAGTTAACTCGAATTGCGTTCGAACTGTTCAATTTGCTCTTGCGAGCGATCGTAACGTAGCATAGAAGATTTTGGGAGTAAATTTTTGTAATTGCTCGACCAATCTTGGTGCGAGCAAATTGGTGTCGGTATCGATAGGTTTCGGGCGTTTGTCAAGTGTTTCGTACAGAATAAAAGCACACGCTGTCAGAAGTTTTCGATGACTGTTTTCTCGACTTCATTAGGCAATAAAACTGTTGAATCGTTCATATATTATCTGATTGAAACAATGATGTTCTAGTTATCAAGAGCATGTGATTTGTGTACATACATATTTAATAAATTCTTACAGTTTTATAATAAAAGCTGTTAATGGGAGAAATGTGTAAGAGAGAGAGAATTCATATTCTATTTATTTGTTCCTTTTTTGTTGAACTGGCTGTACTAACTTGCACCAGTTTTCTTCTTCTCTTTCTTTTTTCCTTGACTGTACATCTGTTTTCTTTCAAATTCTGTAAACTCTGATCTATCATTGCTTCCTATTTCTCAATCTTTTTTCAGCTCAAGGCTCAGGATTTAAGCCAGAAAGAGATAAAGAGACAGAAAAAGAGAAATACGAGGCAAAGGACATATTATAGATCTGGACTAAGTATACATTAGTCAGCGACAAAAAATAGGCAACGAAAGAACGTTGCAAGTAGTTCCTATAAAGCGACGCGCTGATTGGTCCTCCGAAATGGCTCGCCCGCCACTTTACGGTGACAGTTACTACAGATCGGATCGCGACGCGATAAGGCAGTGTCGAAAAATCCTTCCATTTTTTCCGTGATTTCGGGATTGACGAGGACGAGTCTCTGGTGTGAATGATTGTCGTCGAAAACGCTGCAAGTAAGTCGTGTGTTCGTCAGATAGTTAGAAGTGAATATCGCCGAACATTGCCATCATTCCGTTTCATTGCCGTCGGGCAGGGGGGGAGGATATTTCGTTCATTTTCATGTCAGTACGTATGACTTTCGTAGTTCAGACACTGTTTTCTGCCTTTTAATCTATCGAAAGTGAGCGTCGCGCGTGAATTATTATCTGAAAGATCGGAAAGAAGCGTATCTCGCGTATGTCGGAGCAAGATTTCGTTAGATATCTCGTGGGGCGACTGTTGCAAGAAGTACCGTGTGAAGCGACGCGCACGTTGACATTCCTGGAAATTTCGTTTACCACTGCATTCATATTAACGACCGAACGAATCGCGACGAAAAGCACCGAAAGTTCGCTCCGTACTTGTCGCGATTTCGCCGCGAATTTCGTCACCGGGAATACCGAAAGTGAATCTCGCGTTAATAGTGATAAAATATTATCGAGCAACCGTCGAAAGGGAAAAGTAAAGAGCAAAGAGTAAGGATTGTAAAACGGATCGGGAGCTGAATATCGACCGTTTAATGGCGCTTCAGAATTCGAGAATACCGTATGTGTATCTTTAATCCATTATAGATTTTACGCATTATTTATCAGCATTATTGAGTAAACATTTGATGCGTATTTATACGTACATCATGATACAAAAATGTCGAGTAAATTTCGGGCAGTGTTAGGCATCGATTAATTAAAATTTTCTTTATAAGAATTCTTCAAAAACGTTTTCTTAAAAAAATCTTTTATTTAAAAAATTATTTTTTTTCTTTGAAGAAAATTTCTTTAGTTTAGAAAATCTTCTTTGTGTGACTAAAATATTCAAATCAATTATCAATGATCATAAATCAATAATCAAAATATTATATATAAAAATCGTTATATATAAAATTACAAATGATTTTCCTAATTAGTGAAATTAATTATTATTCAAACTTCGACACATCAAACATTTGATATGATCGATTATATATTGATTAATAATTTTATCAACCGATTAAATTATTACAAATGTAACGATTGATTAATTTCGATTATTAATTTGTCCATTATTTCAGTCAAAGAAAATTTTAATCGATTAATGTCTAATATTGATTTTAGACATACGACGTTTTAAAAATGAGTCGCGATCGCTTATGAAGTATCGATAAGCCGAATCGAAATTACGCGCGCGAGTTATCGTCGTCGACAATACCGGCAGTGAGTATGGTAAAGTAGGTAACTGCGCGTGCGCGAGAAGTGAGCGGGTATAAAAGAGGCGGCTGCTATACCGAGCGGTCTAGTTGCGTTACGTCTTTATCCTACCGCGCTCGCGCTCGCATCGTCGATCACTCATAACAGAGGACGCGGTGCGTTCAATCGTGTTTGAAAACTGCCCCGTACTTGCGCGCGCAAATTTTCTCGCGATTTCGAAGATTTCTCGTGTGTAACTTATTAACGGGAGTGTCGACAGCAATTTCGTGCGTCGTTTTATTGTGTTGGACATTCAGTTGGATTAATCAATGGATAATCATCGTGTCGTAGAGTCCAGGCCACTACACTAAAAATCAGTGAGTCAACATGACAGAGGGTGAGTCTTTCTATTCTTTTGCATACTGATTTTTCTTCTGAATACAGGATAAATGATAGTCGAGGTTAGTAAAAATGTTGCACAAAATGTGAAAAGCTATGTTTTATAAAAGAATACATTATGTCATTCAGGTAGATCTGTCTATTTTTGTTTTCATTGTAGATCAATTGATCAGCTTCATTTTACATTAGTTTTGGAAAGATAATTATATTTTTTAGATTTCATGATATTATTCCTTATTAAAAAAATTGTAAGAGTTTAAAATATGTTATTGCGCGCATTTCCAGCAAATTAATGAGATAAATGACTTACGCTGTTAACAATGTATTAATATCAAATATTGAACACATATGACATCCTGAGGATATTTATATCTACTAATGATACCACAATAGAACGTTGTCTAGCATCTTAATCTTTTTAAATAAAATCTACCTCAGTTTTAATCAAATATCATATGATATCATATCAATATTAATTTCAGTAGCAACTGCAGATACTATAATTATTAAAAATGTTTTTTAAATAAATATCATGCTATTTTATAGTAAACGTAATTATTCACACAATATATTCCACATTTTGTGCAACCAAATATAACTGGCTCAAATTGTTCGAGATGGCTACAGAAATTTGTTAAACTACAAACTGTAGTCAAATTCATACATTGCAAGTCACACAATATATTCTCTTTTAACATATATATTTATAAAAATATACAAAGTATGATGCATATCAAGCAAAGAATCTTCTCTTGTAAGAATTACGTGTTTTTTATGGAACTTTTTACTATCTTAACGTCATCTACTGGTCGATCATTCTTATCGGTTTCAACTAGCCCAATTCTTTTCACTATCGCCATACCAGAATAAACTCGACCTTTTAAATATGAAAATACAATGCAATCAGTTAGGACAATCAAGTTTGGAATTATTCCCACTTATCATAGCTTACCAAATATAGTATGTTTCCCATCAAGCCATTGAGTTGGTGCAAGCGTGATAAAAAACTGTGATCCATTTGTGTCTGGACCTGTATTCGCCATTGATATTATTCCAGCACCTACACAAATTTTAATGCTGTGTAATTGAAGCATGATAGTAATATGTGTAACATTCCAGTAAACATAAAATATCCATATTACAATATCAGCTCAATTATATGATATATTATCTAACTATTACTTTGTTATATAACAAAGTAATAGTTATGTAATATACCATATAATTGAGCTGACATCGATGATACTTTGTGTTTACTGGGATAATAGTAATATGTGTAAAGCCAGCGGCACACGGTGCTTGTTTTCATGCTGGTTTGCTTGCTGGATTGCTTGCTGGATTGAAACATTCTGTTTTGATTAGTGCATTTCCATCCATCTTCAGAAATGTACCAATCAAAACAGAATATTTTCACCCAGCAAGGAATCCAGTACGAAAACAAGCACTATGTGCTGCTGGCTTAACATGATAGTAATATGATAATAATATCTACAAACTTCTCTCCTTTACATATCATACATTAAAACAATATTCTTAATTGCTCATTACTGAAAAGTGATTCTGATTACCTGTGTGTTTCAAATCATCATGTATCTCATCGTCAAAGCATTCACCGTATATCGATATCCCACCTTTCCCAGTCCCCGTAGGATCTCCACCTGTACACAACAATTAATACAAAATATCATTTCCATTCAATGAAAGCTTCTATGCTGTACATTTCTTGTGCATCACCTTGAATCATAAAATCACGGATGACCCTGTGAAATTTGGTACCATTGTAGTATCCACGTCGTATGAGCTCAGCAAAGTTTCTGCATGTGACAGGAGCATGTTTCCAGTATAGTTCGAAGGTTATCTCACCCATCCTAAACATCAGAATAAATTAGCAATGTGCAGTGAATAGGTCTTAAGTTAGGAAAACGTAAGATACTCACGTAGTTTCGAAAGTAACGAAGGGTGGTTGCCAGTGTTTATCTGGAATGCCCGAGATACTTGGCAGACACATAGTATCGTTAGGTTAATTTCTTGCGTTGTTTTCTTACAATTAAACGACACACTGTTAGGGGATCGTATTACGTTCGTGACCGCCTTGTATTTAGTGGAACTTCTCATGCAAAATAATAATTATTCGCGCGGGTAACAGCCACTGACAACACACACTACCGGTAGTCAGTCAAATAACGTGAGGGGAACCTACACAAGGGAACAGTAAGGAGCTCACAGACGCCATCTGTAATCGGCTCATACATGGGTCACACGTTGAAGCAATAATAAGTGTATTTAGTGAAAATGTAAAAACGCGTTGAGGGTACCCTAGCATAAATAGTATAAATGTGGACCCCCGCATGTCGGACTAATTCATCACAGTGTCGTACTTCAAGTGTTCTGGCGGCACCACGAGCTTCCGCACGTGCCAGAACAAGTTAACCTGAATGAAAATATGTTCTCGCCCAGAGACTCGGTTAAATCGGATTATATTAGTTTAAATATTCACGACAGCGCGTCGTTTGCACGGGGCACCTCGCGCAGTCTGTGGAGGGTACGTATGTCTGAATGGAAAATATCTCGCGCAGTTACTTTTAGTCCGCACAGTCGGCCTGATGTGCCGCATTTTTGTCGTCGTTTCCTCGTTACTCTCACGGCTATCTGTCTCTCTTTCAGCAATGGAATCAGTTGTCCAGGTTTCAGAGAAACATTCTATACTTTACAATTATCACGGTTCTACTTCTATTATTTTATCTTTTGCCTAGCGAAACCAAAGGTGGTACCTCTGACAATGAGGTGGACTACAGTAATGTAGAAATTATACAAGAGACTGCCAAGTACGAGAAGGTACGTTGCACCAAGAGGCACACTTTGTGTGGGAAACCTCTATGGGAAACCTCTTCAAATTTTCTTTTATTCCGCAGGCAGTTGATGAAGTTGTTGTAGATAATGAAGAACAGGGTGCTGGACCCGGTGAGGTCATTGAGGAACCTGAGTTCCAGCCAGAAATCAATCAGGTTGATGATGATCAAATCGGTGAACCACCACAGCCAAAACCAAACATTCTCAAATTTAATGGTAGATCATAATTTTTGGGATAGACCCAGTGACAGATGTAGCAACAAGTATAATTAGATTAGAATACTTTGCATTAAATTAGATTAAGTTGGCATATGAGCAGAATTGAGTCATAATGTTTAGGATTTTTAGGCCCACAGAATGGTAAGCAGCAGGCTGTTGTGGCAGCATTTAAACATTCATGGGATGGATACAAGAAATATGCCTGGGGTCATGACAATGTAAAACCAATGACTAAGAGGTACCATGAGTGGTTTGGCTTAGGTCTCACAATAGTTGATTCATTGGATACTATGTATCTAATGGGGCTAAATGATGGTAAGCATATTGTAAGAGTGTACGGAACATCTTTCACTCATTGGCAGCAAGATATAAATAGTCTTCCGTCGTATTTCAGAGTTTACAAGAGCAAGGAAATGGGTGGAGGATAGTTTAGTGTTCACAATGAACAGGGATGTTAATTTATTTGAAGTTACAATTAGAGTATTAGGTGGTTTATTGGCGGCGTATCATCTCTCCGGTGATATACTGTTTCTAAATAAAGCTGTAAGTAGCTAGTCTGGAAAACATTTTCAGTTATTCTGGTAGGAGCACAGAGCGCAAGTATTAACTCAGGATTGTTCAAGATGGATTTAGGTGATCGCATGATGCCAGCATTTTCCACAAGATCGGGTGTTCCATATTCCGACGTGAATCTTGGCACCAGAAGCGCACACAGTCCCAAATGGGGTCCTGACAGTAGCACGAGCGAAGTTACTTCGATTCAGTTGGAATTTCGTGATCTCAGTCGTAGCACAGGGCAACCTAAATTCGAGGTATTATAGAATTGAAGTAACAATACTTACGATGAATATTGAAGAGATTCAAGAGGAATTAGGAAATCTTCTATTTATCCATATATTCATATGTGAGGAAAATAGAGAGTCTATACATACACGTGAATTCATTGATTGCTGTTTCAGGCTGCAGCCGCAAAAGTTTCCGACCATGTACATAAATTAGAAAAATACGACGGCTTAGTTCCAATTTTCATTAACGCGAATACCGGACTGTTTCGAGAATACGCGACGATTACGTTGGGAGCTCGCGGCGACAGCTATTACGAATACTTATTGAAACAATGGTTGCAAACTGGGAAAACCATAGACTAGTTAGTATCTCATTAAGAGCTCATTAGGAGCATTAGGAGGACGGTGTTAATGAACGTAAATTTGACATGTTTACTTTTTAGCCTACGCGACGATTATTTGTTAGGTATTTCCGGAACACAGAAGCATCTCGTGAAACACACCGCAGTTAACAAATATCTGTTTATCTCCGAGCTAGTCGGCGCTAATAAAGAGATAAGGCCGAAAATGGTAAATAACTTTAGACGAACTCGATATCGAACCATATCGTATTGAGCTGATTTGCATTATAGGACCATCTCACGTGCTACCTAGGAGGTACTTTAGCGTTAGGCGCGCATCATGGACTGCCAGCGGAGCATAATATTCTCGCGGAAGAGATAGTTAAGACTTGCTATCAAACGTACGCGACTCAACCAACGTTCCTTGCACCTGAGATCACTTATTTTAATATACAAGTAAGTCTCAAGGGTTAACGCCATCAATTCAGACGATAGCAGGCCGAACGTACGTTGAGGCAAAGATAGAAAAGAAAATAATGCAGTAGCGATCTCTCACCTTTGCAATTCTTCACAGAAAGTGGAAGGTGAAAATCAAATGGACATGTACGTAAAGACAAATGACGCTCACAATCTACTGAGGCCCGAGTTCATTGAAAGTCTATTTTATATGTGGTACTTTACGGGGAATAGGACGTATCAGGATTGGGGTTGGCGAATATTTCAGGTGAGTGTGTCGTCTTTCTTCCGCCCGAGTCTCGGAGACGTGGCTCCTAACTAAAAGACACCGTTTATCGATAGGCCTTCGAGAATTACACCAAAGTCGAGGACGGCTACACGAGTATTAGTAATGTACGGAATGTCCACAACATTCGCCAGCAGGATATGACGGAGAGTTTTTGGTTCGCTGAGACCTTAAAATATCTGTACTTGTTGTTTGACGATTCTAGACAATTGATCGATTTGGATAGGTGGGTATTCAATTCAGAGGGTCATCCGTTACCAATATACGAGTCGTAACACAGTAAAGGCAAAAGACACGTGCATGTGTATTTATTAAATGACTTTATTGCACTTATTCTCCATGAGATCATTTCTTAAACGCTCGATCGGTCGTGATGTTTTCACGTGACGAAAACCAGGCGGAGAAGGGTTTCCTTCCGTTACGGTCGAGATTCCTCTTTTACAAAAATTAATAGATCAGCGTTGTGCGTATCACACGGTGGGAATACAAGAGAGATCACGTGATGATTTGACTCCACGCGTTGAACTAGAATCTTCCTCGGGGCATTCCTCAATATACTCAATTTATGAGAGCACGATACATCCGCACTCTGTAAGGTTTTTTCCGATTACACTATTACGTAATTATTACGCTACAAGAGAACACGCAAGTGTATTCTTCCCTTAGTTGATCGCTAGAGGCGATCGAGGCGAATGCGTACCATTAACTACGCGCCTACCAAATGCCTAAGCCTAATGAATCAATGATAGACGCTAATAGCACTCTAGACACTAAATTGTGAAGGAAATTTATAGACATATACCGTTGATTTTTACTTATCGATAACAATGTTAGACGGGATATCTAAGCACATATTGTACTTACCAATGTTTTTATCGAAACCACGAGCTTCTGTTCGCGCGCAACGTAATTCTTACAAGACACATATTTTGCGATAGATTTTCAAGGGACATTATTGTTTAGCGTCAACTCTTCCGCATGAAATCCGTATGTCGTATTTACTACAAAAATAATCTAGTCTGCATCTATTAATAAATTACACTGTGTACTTGCAATCTTCAACTGTTACATGTATAAATATTTATATGATGATCATGAAGAGATGCCCATATAAATGTTTATATGAGATATATCGGGAAACGTTTATATAAACGGCTCCCGGTCGCCATCGGGAAGGCACGGCGGTGATTAAATCGACGAACTCGGATGGAATGTGTGCAGAAAGTACTGCGGATACTGAGACATCTCGAAATTCAGTCATATTCTGTAAAAACTGCAGAAGCTAGCTTTGACGATCTTGTTATTCGCATCTAATGAAATCGTGCGAGTGAGAAGAAGAAAAGCGAGATACGGGATGCATTGTCGATCGTGGAAGCGGTTGAATGAAATAAACGTACACGGGCATTACAAAATAAAATCCGATTTAATCATCAGCTGCGCTATTATCAAAATACGCTATTCCTAGTTACTGACGCATTAAGAAGTGATTGTTCTCGGGTTACTCCTCGTTTGTAATAAATGCATCCTTATACGAACAACGAGAATACTGTTTTGATACTGTTTGTATTATCTTCGTTTTTCCAAGTGGAATATATGTACACTCTGTGTATCAGTATCCTCTATATACTATAGATTTGTCCTTTCCGACTCGCAATTTTACCAAATTCCGATCAACCGCGATCAACCGTCTGACATGTTACGAGCAATTGTCAAGCCATTGGCAGAAAGCTGCTTTGCGACTGTTACAAAATCCGTGAACCCGATTGGTGTATGCTCTTAATCTTGGCTGAACCCAGTGGACATCAATCGATTGAAATATCCTTTGACTAAAACAATCGGTAAATCAATTAATTAGAACAATCACGAAAATGAATCGTCATACATAACATCACCATTTAATCTATTAATGAAATTATTAATAATTATTAATTATTAATCAGTGTTTATAATCTATTAATGTTTGATTTTAATAATTAGTTTCAATAGATCGATGAAATTATTTGTATCTTATACAATACCGGTCAAAAGTTTGAGAGCATTAATAAAAATTCTGGTCTGAACGATAATTTAGATTATTCTTGACAGGTATTTTTATCGGTGATCTCAAACTTTTGACCAGTACTGTGTATGACGATTAATTAACTTTGATGATTGATTTGCTGATTATTTTATTCAGCTAAAATTTCGATCGATAAATGCCCAACACTGGCTGAATCTAAGAGCATACACGCGATCAGATTTACGAGTTTTGCGAGTCGTAAAATTTGTGAATCTGACCGATGTATGCTCTTAAGTTAGGCTGAATCTAAGGCCGGATATGCCAACCAGATTCACGAGTTCCCCAACAAGTTGCGAAGCAACTTGCTCTACTGAACACAACCACTGATCACTCGCAAACGTACGGTCACGGTTGTTAAAGCTAGCGTCACACGACGCACGATTTGATGCCTCCTGACATGTACGCTGCAGGTAGCTCAGTTCGCTGCGTAGATCTCCCAACACACGATAGCAATTCATGTAGTGAACCGAACTGTCTGTAGCGTGTCGGTCGGGCGACATGAAAACTCGCTTGTATGATTCGCTAGCTTCAACGTCAAGTCATGAGGAAGACGAATATGTGGCGATAGCTTAGTTCTATAACAACACACGCGCGAGGGAACGTTCGCGGACTCACATGTGTCTTTTGCAATGTCTCTCGTACACTGACTTTCAAAACGGTTTGAACACACTTTCTTCTGTACCGTTTGGGACGCGACCAATAGTCCAGTGGGAGAACTTGCTTTTTACTCATTCCCAGAAGTTATCGAATCATTGGCAGTGTTCGAAACCACTGAAAAAAGAGTGATCTATAGAAGTGACAACCATATGAGCTTTATGTGTAGAATTAATGTAGTTTGATAAACTATTTTGTAGTTACTCGTAACTATTCAGTTCTTGTTGCGATAATTACAACATTGTTTATTAAACTATATATTAATCTAATTAATATATATTATACATATTATACATATATTATATATATATATATATATATATATATATATATATATATATATATATATATATATATTATAATTAAACATATTGTACACACAAAACTCGTATGTAGTTGTCACTTACATAGCTGCTGTGTCCTTTTCTCTGAGTATACGTCAAACGCGATTTTTATGACGCTATGGCAGTGTATACTCGCGCACATGTTGCGATAAATCCCCTTCGCAGAGAAAAACATTCTATAAATACAGTTTCATTATCTATGCGTGTGCCTCTCAAGTCGCTCCTAAATGAATATTCCATCAAACATCTATCGAATGTTTTATTTTAATCAAAATATCATCGCGCTCGATATTAAATATCGTCACGCGATGCAATATCGAAGATTCTTGCGCCATGAAGGACGGGAATGGAGAGGATCGCGAACGTTTACGCGTGCACACGCGTGCATTAACACGCATCAAAAATTTTTTTCTAAACGTCGCACCGCAGGATTTATTCTACTGTCCTCGTATATGTTATATACGTATATATCACAAAGTGTCTCCTAACGGCGCATTATTGTCGATTCCTAAATTTCGCACCGAAAAACGGCGTCTCGCGATTGACCCCATGGATCGATCCATAGAATCGCGAGGAGGTGTCATTTCTTGGATATTCACGTTAGAATCCCCGGAGATCTCAAAGTATCGTGCAGGTGCAACACTGTTGCGTGTAATAGATACAATTGATCAGACACATGTCGGGCTCCTCGTGGTCGTTGAGCGTCTTCGTCGTGTCCATGTCGAATCCGTTTCTTTCTATTTTGTACGTCGATTCCGACACGGGTAAAGTCTTCTGCACGATCGGCGTCGCTTCCTCTATCGCCTCCACGTCGGCGTCCGCTGTCGTGGTCTCGTTGTCGGCTTTCGACGTTTTCGTCGACGTCGTCGGCGAGGGGGTCGTTGTCGGGGTGATTTTCGCCAGCCTGGCTTCGTCCGGCACGTCGAAACCCGTGGAGGATATCGTCTGCACCGGGGATGACGATTCGCCGGATGACATCATCACGCTAGAATGAAAATATTTGACTTAATGGACTTGAAAAGAAAATATTTTCAATTACGGCCCCTTTGATAAGTACAAACTATTAATAAATTGAAAATGGAAGACAGATCGATAAGATAAGAAATAAAGTTTATTTTGCTTCCTTTTCAGGACAAAAGAAAAATGAAAAATATTTTCGCCGTGATCCCTCCGAATTCCTACTCTCTTAAAGTGAATCGTTGAAAAGTCCTTTTTAAGAGGATTTAAGAGGATAGGAATTCGGAGGGATCACAGCGAAATATACTTTTCTTTTTTCTTTTGTCCTGAGAAGAAAGCAAGATAAATTTTATTCTCTTATCTTATTGATTCCAATTTTCTTCCATTTCCCATTTACTAATATTTTTATATTTGCTCCGTCTTATGTCTTCATAATTTAGTCGTATTAGTAAATTATCGTAATTTGGCGTGACGATACCAGTACAAGCAAGATTTCACAGTAAAATCTGTAATATACAAATTCGCTATGCCAAATCCAACTTTCTACGTCTATGGCGATGAAATTAACGGCTTCCATGCGTGCAATGACATTGTCTGTGTTCGCAGAGTGCATCAATAATGGGAATAGTCGCTACTATTAATTGACTTCTTCAGTGAAAATTTACTGATTGCAGTGCTATATTTTCAACTGAACTAGAAATTATAAGTATAGCGTTTCAGAGTGGAGAATATACTTATTACATTTTAGAGAGTAGATTCTCGATCAAATTATTGTCGAGGAATGTTGACTTTAGATTTTTAGAAAGTCTAAGTCGAATTTCTGAAGTAATTCGAATATATCTACGTAGAAAGATAACGAGTTTAAAGCCCATATTAACGATTGACAGTTATAAAATATAGTATTGTCTAATTGGCAGTCACTAATCACAATAGGTAGCTGCTTCGCGCTGATTGAAATGTAGTCGCTAATCGCCAATCGCTAATAGGATACGAACTATTCGCAGCGACCATCTTGATTTATGACGTCAGAAAAACGAGGAAACGCGCACACAAAATTCTTACAAAATATATCGAAATAAAAAGATATATCCAAAAAATTACACTTGCAATCGATTAAACAAACTTCTAAAATACTTCGAACACTTTCCTTTTGCTCCAATAATCAATAAATAACCTAAAATTAAGATGAGAATATAATGAGGAAATATAAGTTAAAGAGGAAGGTTGCAATGTTATTTTATGATTATTTATTGATTGTTAAAAGAAAAAGAAAGTGTTCAGAATATTTTGGAAGTATAATGTATATGTCTAATCGGTTGCAAGTGTCATTTTTTAAATGTATCTTTTTATTTTGACGCACTTTGTAGGAATTTTTTGCATGCATTTCCTCGCTTCTAAGTCATCAATCATGAGTTCCGTGATGAAGTAGCCAGAAGCTTAAGTAGCCTTAAGTCGCAAACACAGAAAAACGTAAGTAATAAGAGAAAGTTGATCAACCACAATCGATGATTCTTCTTACGATCCAAGAATACTCGATCGTGATTGGTCAATTGTCTTACTGCTCAAGGCCTGATTCCACAACTTACTTTAACTGGAGTTTAACTCGTTAAAAGCTTATCCAGACAAACTTGTATATTGCACATGCATAAAAAGATCAACTAATCATGATCCGTGCAGTAAAAGAACGTCTCTTGTATTATATACAATTTAGTCAATTAGATACAGTTTAGTCAATTTCTTTGCGCATATGAGTAATGCGACTGTGCAAGTTTGTCTCTGGACAGGACTCTCTAACGAGTTAAACTCCGATTAAAGTTGCAGAACTGTGCCTAGGTCTTGCTGCTTGCGTTTTTCCGTGTGCCATCCGCTTTAAATAGAACAATGCCTCGAGAATATGTCCCTTTGAACCCTCGAACCTACCACCGCGCCTTCCGAATAGGGTACGTTCGGGTTCTCTCCTCCGCGGTTAGGGTGGAGTAGAACGTTTGGTCCAGCATCTTTAGAAGGTAGTCCACACGGCTCACCTTGGAGTACTTTCGTCACCGGGATACGTTTCGTCGGTGTGATATGTTTTGTAATTTTATCAGAGCGCTCTCCCGTACAGTCTTTGAAACACTATACTCCCATTGCTCCTACGCGCACGCTGCGTGAAGTAACTCTAATAAAGCCCATCTAATCTAATCGTCCTTTGTATCTCCCCGGGGTTTCACTTTATAGCTCCCCGGGGAACACGAGACACGAGGAATTTTTTACATACTGGATATATCTTTTCCATCAACGCGAAGTCCTTGAAAAATTAAAAGTTTTATTGACGAATTTGATAAAACGAATTCTGAACTACTGACGAATTCAAGATAAAACTGTTCACTTGTCACTTGTGAGTTCGCGTTAGGGGAAGTGATGCACGATCGATATCCTGCGGAAGAGAAATAACGCGACTCGCCGAACCGGCGCTCATGATTTTACATTTGAATGTGCACGCGTCACCTGTTACGACGTGTCGCATAAACATTGCGCCGAGTATCCCGTCGTAAAAGGCACGTTACGTTTACATCGTGCACGTAACTTGCGTTGCATCTGGTGCATTACTAGCGCCGATTACGCCCCAACTGATCGAGTTTCGAGCACGTGGAGGGCACATTAGCGGACTGAATACCGTTGGCATTCTGTCGGCTAATGGAGGCTAATGAACGTCAACTGGATCTACCACTGCGTACCGTGCCGTGTGTGTATTAAAATCCGATTGACAAGCAGCGCATTGACTGCACTTCGCCAGAGCATTTCTCCAATTCGTCCTTTCTCCTCTTCGCGAAAGGGATCACAGGGGACAGTCTGTGTGAAGTTTATTCATTCAGTACTGGACCTCTCGTCAAAGTGAACGATAAAATACCTTGATTAGATACTTCTCAGTATCGATTACGCGGATGAGCGATTCTGAGAAAAAAATTGATAAATTGTAGTTTCCTTTATACACATCTTTGGGTAGTGCTAAATGTCACAGATATATATTTGTCTCTATTACAAATTTAGGAGATTTTATTATAACAAAGTGCATGGGGACGATATTACGTATAGAAAAAATATTTTATCGCTAAGAAATTACTTAATTTACTTTTACATAATGGTTATCTTCAGTAAAAAATAGTTCTTCATAATGGTCTTAAAATATATTCATCAGAAGTTTTTTAAATAAACGACATTGCACACAGAAAAATATTCTACTGCTAAAAAACGAAAGTGATTACACATTTATTTTATTTTTTCTTAAATAATGGTTATTAGAAATACTTTCTTGATATAAAATATATTCTCTCTCATCAAACATTTTAGAGAAGCTCATTAGTATGTACTAAAAAAAAATTTATTTTTTTTATAAGAATATTATAAATCGAAGAGAAAACGTTGGTTTGACTCTACGTAGTATATAAGCAAACCAAATCTTCGCTTTAATTTACTTATTAGAATTTATGAATTTGATAGATTTGCGGATGTACAAACTTATGAAACCAATTGTTTGAATGCATTAAGACAAAAGTATCAATGCCTAGCTACGTATCTAATTCTGAACATTCTTATTGTTTTGGTCTTTAAGTACGAATATTTTTACATAAAGAGAATATATTTGTATATATTGAATATATATTCTATGTTAAAAGTTTAAATATTCGTATTTAAGTATCAAAACAATAAAAATGTCCAGGATTAAATATATGTCCGGGAATAAGTACATTTATCTTATATATTCTTCTGTGTACAGTCGGTCTATGCGTTTTATTCTAACGTTACGGACACAAGAGGAGAGAATGACGACAGAAGGTCGCTCGCTTTGGCGATGCAAGAGAGAAACCCGCGTTAGATCAAGCTGACTGTTAGAAGGGTAGTATTAGGTAGAACCAAGGTCTTTACCCTCGTCAATTGTCCTCGCTTGGCTTAAACCCCGAAAACTGCAGCTGTTCTATGAAGCAGCTGAAATATTTGGCGTTTGAATAGAGGCTATTTCTCAAAGTCGACGTCGGACCCTTGTCTTTTTTTATGCGTAGATAATTCTTAGAATTAACAATTCCATTAACGTTGAGTGCATCCAGTTCGCAAGTAGCACGCGGTATTTCGGCTCTTACGAAACGTTCGTAGAAATAACGCGTGACTCTTTCGCGCGGAACCGTGCCGCGGTGTGATTGCATCCGCGACTTATTCAGATAACGTTACTCGCTCGTGTACGGCAAACAATAGGATCAGACGGACAGACTGAGATACAAAGCGAGTCTGCGAAATTTTTATGGCGCCCACTCGCAGTATCGTTGAACGCGAAATTTTAACGGTCGGATATATCGTGCGAAACGCCGATAATGCGCAGTGGAGACTTTAACATCATCTCACTTCCTCGTTTGCCTGTCAAAATCGTTGCCGGAACGACAAAGTCCATCGTCGGATAATCGATAAAAATCAGCGATAATTAATAGCGACTTTATACGTGGTTTTCCCAATACATGACGCGCGCACGCGCGTGAAAGGCTGCGTTTTGTCGTTTTCATTACGTACATGATGTGCGTGCGTGTGTGTGTGTGGGTGTGTGTGTGTGTGTATGTATGTGTGTGTTTGTGTGTGCAATAATAATTGTTACACAAGTGTCACTCGTTAATACACCGCGAAACCGGCACACCGAGACTGAACATCAGCTCGCACGCAGCCGAGTGTTCGAATTGCAACGCCGACTGCACCGAATGCATGCACCGGTACGGCAAACGAATGCAACCGCGCGCCGTCAACGGTCGCCGTGAACTGTCCCGCCTAAACCTCGAAGAGCGTTCTCTCCTACTCTGGATGCGCTTTACACGTGTTACGACAGTGCCGTAACCGGCACGAAGACCCGACACGTACGCTAATATCAGAGCCGAATTCAGGCCAAAGTAAACTGGAGAGTTCAACGCCTCGTGAGAAATGGAAAATTGCTCCAAAATTCCTTATTTTTTTCTACTTTTTTTTATTCTCGAATTATTGGCGTTATAATTCGTACGTACATCGTGGAAGCAGTTTGACCAATAATCCTTTGTGATTCGATTCTTCTGTGGCAGAAGAAGCGACGGCACAATTGATTGTTTGATCAAGAGAAGAGAAATTAAAATGGCTAGGGGGAAATCGGGCAAATGTACAGACTATAGAATATTTCTTGTCAAATTCAACTTGTTTCACATGTACCAATTTGTCTACTTCAATTTTTTAATTAAACTAATGAAACAAGAGGCAAATATGTTAATGAATAACAACTTGTCTCTGTACAATTAACACAAAATATGTCACTAAGGATATACATGTTATGTATAAATTGTATTATTTTAGCAATTACAAGTAACAAAGATTCTAATTTGGCAAAAATGTAGAAGTACAAAAAATATTTAAGTCATATTTTTTCATTTTGGTTCACTTTAAGTTTCACGGGCAGTTTATAGCTTTTTAATGTTCTTACTCCTATCACCAACAAATACAACAAAAATGCATAAGAAATAAAATTGAATACAAGGCATTTTTGGTTTGCTAATTATAAATATGAGGTCAAATGTGCAAAATTTGTTGTATAAATAATAAAATGTTTAAACAAAACATGTAAAAAGTTAAAAAAAATTAGTTATACAAATAATTTCTCAGTTTGGCCGAGATTCGAGCCATTTTTGACTAATTTAGCACAGATTTGAAATATTTCGGTTGGAATCTCGGTTCAAGAAATTTAGAATGGTTCGTGTCTCAGCTATGCCGATTTTATTAAAATTATTTAACTATATCTTGTATTCAATTTTATTTCTTATGCATTTTTGTTGCACTTGGTGATGATAAGAGTGAGGACATTAAAAAGCTATAAACTGTCCGTAAACCAAAAGCTATAAACTCAAAATGGGCCAAAATGAAAAAAATATGGCGTAAATATTTTTTGTATTTCTATATTTGTGCCAAATTAGAAATAAATCAGAGTGTACCTTTTGGTTAGGTTTACTTGTTAGAAACGGTGAATGTTAACACAGAAGTGTTAAAATAATGACAATATGTTAACATACGTATATTAAAAATTCAACATGTTAAAAATTTGACATATCCATTAAATTAGGGCTAAATTGATTTTTTACAGTGTACAAATTAAGAAAATAATTGATGACTTCGAAAAATAAAAGAAGTTCTTTGCGACTCGGTATATATAGTATCAATTGCTCAAACTTTATAAATTTTAATTTAGATTTATTCGAGGATCGATTTTTATCTCAGTTTATTCATTTTTTACGAAGTCGTCAAATTGCGCTTTTCAAGTTTGTATTTTTTCGGTGTACGAAAAGTGATCTCTTGGGAGAAAGTAGGCGAGCAGTTTTCGCCCACGTAATCTTGAAACCAATGACTCCGACCACGGGATCGCACACTTACGGCTCCTCTCGGCGAGTATTTACAAATACTAACCTTTGTACGGTATTGATCGGAGCACAAGACTCGAAGGAAATTCTTCTAATTCTCTATCGGTCTAGTTAACTCCCTCGTTGAGAACTGCTACCTATCCATTTACTAGGTTGTTTTAATATTTCGCGTGCGACAAAATTAACAATTTAATAACCTCTTTCGCAGCAATTCATTGATTATGCTCGTCGAGCTCATTAGTAATCGCGATGAACACAACACGAAATTTATTTCAATTTTTGATGGGTTAATTCAGATTGCAAACACACGAAATTAACACACTTCTTTAAATAATCGAGTCTTTCCTCGGAAATCGTGGCCAGATGTCATATTAACATTTTGTATAAAATGTTAATATGTTAATGTTAAATATTAACATTGTATAAAAGGTTTGCTCGCAAATCACTGACAGAGCAAAACAAAACAACAAGAATCAAACGTTAAATAATAAAAAAAATCGTGTAAGGCAAAAGCACTAATGTCCTGACACTACAAAAAAAAAATACTTAAAAATTAATTTGCGGAACAAAAATTTATTTCACAAAAATAAATTTTATATCCTACGAAGAAACTCAGTGTACACTCGTAGACTCAAAAGTCGCCCATAGTTTTTCGGCGGGATTTATGGACCCATTCGCGTCTTGTCCAATGGGAGAATTGGTCAAGATGGATGAGTTCGCTCGAAAAATTATGGACGACTTTTCTGCCCACGAAAATATCTAATACTGAACATTCTTACTGTTTTGGTCTTTAAATATTTAAATTTTCAACATGGAGAGAATATATACATACATATTGAATATATATATATATATATATATATATATATATATTCTATATAGAAAGTTTAAATAATCGTATATAAAAAACAAAAATATAATCATATTTAAGTACAAAATAAAAATGTTCAGGATTAGGTACGTGTTCAGAAATTGGTGCTTTTTAAGCCTTAAACGACATGGATTACACCGGTTAATTGTGAATGTTCGTCGTCGCGCAGCATCATCGTTCTTCTACCGTTTCTGCCGAAAGAAATTCCTCAGTGGAGCTGTGCTCGGTGAACGGACGCGTGATAGGATTACAGGATGAACGAAGGGAAGACTTAACCTACGACGCCCTCTCTCTATTCTCCATCCCTCTCTCTTCTCCTTCTCCTTTTTTTTCCACTTACTTGTAGCTTCCGTGCTGCAGCAATGGATTCTTAAGGCGCACCATTCTGGCGACACCGTCGCTAAAACGAGAGCTATTTCGAAGTTGCACTGATTTCATTGGCAATACACACGCGATCACCGCGATCGATGACGGACGCGATCGAGACTGTGGCGCGTGACAGAGGCATCCCGAGCTATGGCCTGTTCGGCCAGTTATGTATGTGTGTGTGTATGTCTGTGTGTGTACACGTGTGGCGTACACGTTTACACAGTACGTATGTGCGTGTGTGTGGGACGCAGGACACCCTCGTCGGTCACGACGGGAACCGTCGACGAGTCGAAACCGAACGAAAAACCGGTACGGTGCTCATCGAGCCCTTGACGCGAAAAACGTCGACCGAGTCGATCCGGATGACAATGGAAACGCGACGAATGACGTTAGGCGAATTTTACTTCATTGTAGTTCATTTTTCCGTGAATTTTAACTTATTTTCCCGCGAATTTTAATTCATTTTCCCGCGAACTATACATTCATGTCTGAGGCCTATTTTTTTTAACTGAACTACTGCCGCGCTACAAATTCCTTCCTTTTCCCTTCAGAGCTACCCAGATAGATTATCACGATTATCGTGATATGAAACATTATCGATAATGAAATTATTCACTATTGTTTTAATTACGCCTATGAAGCAGATATACTGCACAAAATCAAAGTTCTTCAGTTGTAATTTAAAATGACTGCACGATTCCCTCCAGGGCGAATTTTTTTCAAATATCTAGACTTCTTTTTGTCTTGTTATTTTCTTGGAAAAATTTTGTAAAATAGAATGCAAAAAATATCTTATTTTTATGTTTGCTATAAGTTAAGAAAAATGTAATAGTTTAAGTAAATCAAAAGGAACTTAATATTTTATCACAATTTTTCCAGTATACTACTTAAAGATTTAATTATCAAATTTACATTACATAATAATGTAAATTGTTTGTTATATTAATGCAGTAACAAATTCACTAAAAATTACACTCAGATTTTTATATTACATTATATTTTACATAATATATTGCTTTGAGCAAATTTTGATAATTTTTTTTAATTTTATTTCCATTTCGTGCTATTCTATAAATATTTCTTGAATAGTGCATTTTAGGGAAAAATGTTTCAGATAAAAGTTTTGGGATTTGAAGGGGGATATAAGATGATATCATTGGTTTGATCTCGAGTGGCATCGTCAAGATCAGGACAAGGTCACTTTAAATTTTTTATATGGAACCCCCATTTTTCATTACATATTCTTATAACATACCTCGAGAGCTTTCCAAAACACTATAATAAAATATTTTTTCATTAAATATCTTTCGAGTTAAAAGGCTTCAAAGTTACAATTGCTTCGTCAGGGCCACAAAGAAGCACACGTGTGAAATTCTATTAATAAATTTCTTTAATAATCATAGCATTGTGAGCATTATAATCCTTTAGAATCAATCGGACTCCACATGTTACCTCATGATTTTAAATTATTATTTTCGTTTTCACTGTAAAATTTGAAGAAATGAAAATATTAGGAACAGTCTCCAATCGCCTTGACCTTGATAAATGTCAAGGTCATGGCCCTGAACAACATTCAAAAGGTTTTAGCCGTCGGTCGAATACCTTGGGTACCAATGTTAATGGCAACAATATTGTAACTTTGAAGTCTTTTAACTCGAAAAATACTTAATGAAAAAATATTTTATTATAGTGTTTTGGAAAGCTCTCGAAGTTTGCTATAAGAATATGTAATGAAAAATGGGGGGTTCCATTTAAAAAAATCAAAGTAACCAAATTCCTGACCTTGACGCTACTCGAGGTCAAACCAATGATATCATCTTATGTCCCCCTCGAAATCCCAAAACTTTTATCTGAAACATTTTTGCCTAAAATGCACTGTTCAAGAAATATTTAAGGTGATCGATTAAAATGGGACACTCTGTATATTAAATATGAATGCCATATGAACCGCTCATGAAGCATGCGACTTCCACAAATGGACTAGCACACACACAAAGTTGCTGTCAAATTTATGTACACTTATCTATCTGGGTAGCTTACAAGATAACAGTCACCTAACGTTAAATTCGAAAATATCTCCGTTGTTTTTTATTATTCGAAGAAAATGTGTAAGAAATAAAGTTTGTAACCAGTCAACCTTTTCAACGATTTACTTTTTATGCACTCTCTTCTGATATAAGAAAAAATAACAGATATTTTAAATTTCTAATGTCACGGGATAATGACTTATTCTGTTTATTTGCCTCATTCTGTCAAGAGGTGTAATCCACTTCAGTCAAGAATAGACCTCTCGAAAAAATTGCTTCTGAGTCCCGTTGAAATGATCACCGGGTCGTCAGAAAGCGTGGGGGCGAGGGAGAAGCGGGACGCTTTGTGAAAATTGCTCTGCCAAGAGCGAGAGCGAGAGTCGAACTCACGCGAAAAGACTCTTGTCCGCCTTGTTGTTCTTTTTGGTCGAGTCAGACCCATGGATACCATGATGTTTCTTTCTATCGGTGCTCTTCTTCTTCACTTTGCGATGATCGCGAAACATACTGTAACCGCGCGAGAACATCTTTCTCTTTCTCTCGGTTCGTTGGAGTATGCAAAATAAGGTGCAGCGAATATACGAGAAGCACACCGTACTCGTGTTCTGCTGCGTGTCCAACTAACGCGCATTGTTCCAACTTTGTGCTTGATCTGACGTCCGCGGAGTATTTAATAATCACGTCATCGTGTGATCGTTCATGATTCCTCGCGAACGTTTCCACGACGTGCTCGGAAATCGCGC